ATGTAGTACTACAGCAAACTGAGGACTTTCCACCCTCTGCTGGACAAACATAAATCTACAACTTTAACTATGCCTCAAAACACTTCTGGCTGACCTTCCTCTGGGCAGATTGAGACATGCAAGTGATCTAACCTTTAGCCAAGTCATAAAAATATTATTTACCATGGAAAACCATGTGTGAATGATTAGGAAAATATATCTTTAAAAGACGGTAACTAAAGTCAAATATTTTGATCTATTAGGTGAGAGTTTAAAAACAAATTCAAAAAATTCTAATCATCATAGTAGAGTATTACTACTGAAATATGTACAATATTTCCCCCCAAGGGTGGCAGTATAATGATAAAGTTGAGGCAGTTTACGGATATAAAAGAAATCAATTTGAAAAAAAAAAAAAAAAAGGCAGACGGAGGATGAATGTATTCTTTCTCCATTAGAAATAGAGATAGAAAATAGCTGAGCAAGGGATACGCTTTAATAAACTGGGCCTACAGAGCGTGTAACAATGTAGGGATGATACATGGCTGTGAATTCATACCTTAAAAAAAAAAAACAACACCTCAGGGGAGCACAGTGAAAATAGGCACATTTTATTAATTTTGTAAAATCTGAAAAGGGTCTGGTTTAAGCATAAGACTAAGAAGACAAATCAAATGCCTCCCTACCCAACCCCCCCCCTCGCTAATTTAGGAAAAGCTAAACAGAGAAAAGCACTGACCTGGTCTTTTATCCTCTGTTTGATAATATCCTCCAGTTGTAATGTGGTTTCCTCTGTGACTGTGGGCGCTGTTATGAAGCATGAAAGCATGTCAAAAATATTAAGAATGCAACTGGCAGACCCCTATAGCCAACAGTACAAACGAAACAAAATTTGTACCAAAGAAGCTGTGCCTAATGTGAACGGAAGGAGTTTACACTAAAAACAAACATATGCTACATTTAAATCACTATTGTGGCTGATGGTTCTGCATACATCATACCAGCCTCGATCAGTTTTATATGCTTGTGTATGCTTATGTTTAGCAAAAACCCCACAAAACAAAAACACAAAAGCAAATGTTTATAGTAAAGGAAGAATCCTGCTGCACTCCGTTCAACACTGGATCTGACATGTTTCACCCAGTCCTGGGCGAAGGCAAAGCGGTGCTTTATTCCTTTGCTTTGGTATTAGCAAAATATTTAACTATTACATGTGTGGTGCAAAGCCCAATTATAACAGGCAAAAAAATTAAATATATACACACAAACACACATACATAGTTACATAGTGTTACATAGTATTTGAGGTTGAATAAAGACATTAGTCCATCAAGTCCAACCTATTAGGATCTCATTACAAACACACACATATGCACACATACATTATATACAAACACACACAATTATAAACCTGGGTAACAAACAAGAACAACTGCAAGAAACACAAACCTACCCATTCTGGAGGCATGGTCAAACACCAAGGACTCTGACAACAAACTGTTCTCTGGCCTCTTCTGTGACGTCACCTCTCCACTCAGCTGCCAGGATTTCTCTTCAAGCATTTGCTTGTGGAGTGTCTGAATCTTCTCACCCATCTGTGAATCAATGGGTTTCACACAAGAAAAAAGGCTATTATGTAGCTATATATTGAGAATGGTTGAATTTTAATTTTTCATCTCGTCTTGAATTGTATTGCGATTGTAATGTTTTCCTTATATTGTAAAGCGCTGTGCAATCCGTTGGCACTATATAAATCCTGTATAATACGGTAATAATAATAGGATTACGGTACATCCATAGAAGAACAGCACAGACTTTAACTAACACTTTTATTGCAAATCTCCAGGAAAACGGCAAATCTCCTAGCTAGCAGGTTTTTCATGGGTCAGACTACTGCAGTTACAGCTTTAACTTGCAGTGCCACCAGTAGGTATTGTAGCATGACAATGGGGGGTCATACACATAGGCATTTCATCTAAAACACAGAGGCCAAGGGCAACGGTTCTCTATATTGCATTTATTTAGTTCAAAAATAGTACTAAAAACGATCCGCGTACACCGTTGCTGCTCCTCCAAAGGATTAGGGATATCTACAACAAAAGCACAGAGCGTCTCGACACGTCTAGAATCGTTTTTTTACTTTTCAAGGGTCAAAAGATAAAAACATGCTCACAAACGATGCAAATAAACGTGCATAAATCTCCTTCAATCTGAATTGCAAATCACCCGTATGACATGGAACACGGAAGAGACCGATCCGCCAGCTGGTTTATTTTTCGACCCTTAAAAAATAACAAAACGATTTACACATGTCGAGGCGCTCTGCGCTATTGTTGTAGATCTCATTTTTTATTTACCACAGATTAAATGTGCGGCAACCTGTTTAATAAAATATATATATATATATA